AATTATGGAATTGGTAAATTGATGAATTAGTTGGGCTTCAAAATATTGGGCCATTATTTTTTGAAATATGGGCTTCAAATGGTACTTTACGCATTACATGTTGGGCTTTATCTTTATTGGGCTTAAGTGGGCCCAATGGTTTATTGGATTTTATGTCATTTAAATTTAAAATAAAATTGGTAAATTCCATGACCAATTAAATTTTTATTTAGGGTTTTCTAAATTATTTTTAATAATTAGTGGAAAAAATGTATTTTGGATTTTTCTTTAATATTATCTAAAAATAATTAGAAGAAAATAATGTTTTCTGAATGTATCAATATCCAATTAGTGTTGTCGTGTTCATGTCGTGTCTGAATTTATGATTGTGTTCTTTAGACCATTTGTTTGATCTTCTTCTATCGAGGAAATACCTTTAAAGAACACGTCTTTTTAACTACATATTTTTTAGAATTTTGAACCAATAAACACTATAATATTACTCAATTTGTGAGATTCCACATTCCTTATAAGCGTGTAGAAACCTCTCTCTACCAAACACGTGATAAAAATCGTGAGCCTAACGACAATTCGTAACGGGCCAAACCGAATAATATCTGTTAATGGTAGACTTAGCTTGTTACAAATAGTATCAGAGTTAGACATTAGGCAGTGTGCTAACTAGGGCGCTGGCGTGAAGGGGGTGGATTGTGAGATCTTACATAAGTTGGAGAAGGGAATAAAACATTTCTTATAAAAGTGTGGAAACCTCTCCCTAGTAGATGCGTTTTAAAATCGTGAGGTGACGACGATACCTGATAGGCTAAAGCGGATAATATCTACTAATGGTGGACTTGAGCTGTTATATCACTCGGGATTTTCAAACTCGAGCTCTAACACTCGGTTTGAGAGACGTTTTTTTGGTGAATTAATGGGAATTTGATTGAGAAGAAAAAAGGGTGGCAGATTATGGCTGCATCTGCTTCCTTTTTTCCTCTTTCCATTGTTGGATACAACTATTCATCCACAGTGCTACCCTCCCCAACCACCCCATAAAGACTTTACCTTTTCATCTCATTATATTTCATGTCATAATCAAGTTATTCACTATTTAATTGGCGCTTTCAAGGTATATTAGAAAGATCTCGTTCAAGTTCGAGTAAGTTTAAGACCGCACTTGCTTTTGGATGGAGAACGTTGTAATCAAACAGAGTTTCGTGATTCATCTTCATCCCATTTCAAAACACAGATAAAGTTTGGAGTTTGAATCGATCACTGAAATCGAAACTAGTGCTTTTGTCCACTAAACTATGTTTGGATTCACGACCCCTTTTGTGAGAGTGTTAATTAATTCAAAGTCAAAGGTTTAAGGTTTGAATTTTCGACCGCTTTTTTTTTTTTTTCATTAAACTATGCTTGGATTCACGACCCTCTCATGCAAGTACTAATTAACCCAAGAACACGGGTTCAACGTTTGAATCATTAATAGGTCAAATGATAACTAGTAACTTCATCCACTTAACGAAGCTTGGACTTGCAACCCCTCTGGGAAGAGTACTAATTGAATCCTCGATTATAACCAGTGCTTTTAACCACTGAACTATACTTGGATTCTCATCCCCTCTTCAGAGAGTGCTTATTAATCCAAGGATAATATCACAGCCCAAGTTCACCACTAGCAAATAATGTCCGTTTTGGCTTGTTACATATCGTCGTCAACCTCACGATTTTTAAAACACGTCTACTAGGAAGATATTTCTACACCCTTATAAAGAATGCTTCTCCTTCGCTTCTCCAATCGATGTGTGATATGACAGACAGGGGTTTATAATTTGAATCACCAATTATCAAATCATCGAGATGATAACTAGTGCTTTAAACCACTGAACCACGCTCAAATTTACCATCTCTCTTACAAGAGTACTAATTGATCCAATGACAACAAGAGTTGAATCATCGACCATTAAAATGTCTTTTTATCAACTGAACTATGCTTGAATTGACCGGTGAAATGGTTGTAGGTAAGGCTCCACTTAGAGCGACATCATCCCAATAACACTATAATTAAGCTAATTATTAGGGCAAAACCTACCCTCCCTTTGGGTGCCTTTTCAGCTGGCTTCATCTTCATCTCACAATTAAAAAGGTCCACTAAGACCAATTTCACTCAATTTGCCAAAAAGGGCTTACATCTTTTCATATTTTCAAATAACCCCACTTTTTTTGTTCTTTTTTTCCTTTTGCCCCAAAAAAGAGTGGAAAAAGGATCTCACTTTTTATACTTTTTCAAAATAAATAAAATATGAATTTAAAAAGACATTGACAGTTCATCCCTTTCAGCAAATTATGGACCATTCTTCTAAACCCACCTTAGAAACTTCTTCCTTTTATTGCCCCAATGATCCCAATCTCTTCAATAATTTGAGCTACAATCAAATATTTTTTAAAAATTATAGTTGTAGGCCCTCCAAATCATACCCCATTTTCTCGGTTTATTTCGACATATGGTAGACGATTTGCATCGCTTATTAAGGAATGATTTAAGCTTACAGTACATGACGTTCGGAGGTTGAGACGTTTGAGTTTCGTAGTATGTACAACTGAATTCAGTTAGTTCATTACGTGATTTGCTAATAGTAATATTGTGAGATCCCACGTCAGTTGGAGTGGAAAACGAAATATTCATTATAAGAGTGTGGAAACCTCTCTTTAGTGAAAGGATTTTAAAACCTTGAAGGAAAGCTCAAATAGGACAATATCTGCTAGCGATTACCTTAAACTCATTTTTGTTTAGATTGGGTAAATACTAATATTTGAAAATGACACAGAATCCCAAAAATTTGAATTGAGCTTGAGCTTGAGCTCGAGGTTATTTTTGCTTAAATTGGATAAATACTAATATTTGAAAATGACACGGAATCTCAAAAGATTGAATTTTGAATGTATAAGAACTCTAAGTTTAAAGGCTAATTTTGTAATTTTGAAAGTTATTCATGGATTAAATTTATACTTAAAATTAATAAAAAAAAATGAATAGAGATACTCAAATCGAGATGTATAATTAAAAATAACTTAATAATTATTAAATTAAATAAAGAATTGCAAAAGAAAAGAAGGGTTCAATAATGATACCAACATGATGATTACTTGAATATGAAGTATACAACATAATGGCACATGTATTGATAAAGCACATCAAAATTGCAATATAATGATATGATAGAGAAAAGTCTCAAAAATGACAGCAAAGAAATCAAGCTTGGAAGTCAAATCTTAGGCTATCTCCCTCGTATTTCTAAAAATTTACTAGAAATAATGGTATCGAGATGTAAATTAATTTAAATTAATTCGATGTTTAAGATAGTAGATAGAACAAGTACGAATATCTTTCAGATGACTGATCTATCTTATTAAAAGATTTTGTGGACAAGGCACAAAGCTCAGACAAATCGAATAAACAAGTTATTGTAGAGTTTTTTTGGAGACATAGTGAATTTAAGTCATTCACGAGTAACGATTTCGTTGTGGTTAACTTCCAAATGATCTTCTCTAAACTAAGTAGAATCAGGTTCAAGTTACACATTTGGTTGTCAGCCAATTCTTGACAAATCTGGAATCTAGTAGTAGTTTGAAAGGTGGACCTATTTGAAAATCTCTAGATCTACGCTTATTTTCAACTCACCTGTTTGCCCCCTACAAAAGAGGGAAACTTACTTTGCACCGCACATAAGTCATAAAATGAAGGTCTACCACCTTTCTAATCTTAGCTGTAGATCAAGAATTACATAGAGACCCCAACTAAGCTCATAGTTAGACCTCCACTTTATAGGCTTCAAAAGCAGCTATACTCGAGCTTACTTTACACGAGGACTTTCCTTAAAACTTTTCCCATCATCAACTGCAAATTTGTAACGAAATAATAGAAAAAAGAGACCAAATTTACATTAAAATACAAGTGATGAAGAAGATTGAAGGAGAAGAGAAGGAATTTTAATAATATATGCATTGGGAATTGAGATCTATAGAAACAATTAAGAAAGGTTGTTTCCCACAGATCCCAATTTGGAGTCGGTGACAAAACAAACAATAAACAAAGAATGAGAAGAGGGAGGGGAAGGCGTGGGCTTTGAAATAAAATACAGGCACTGTTTTACCTGTGTGTCCATATCCTCTTTTAAGAGAGCCACCACCCCATGATTCCATTCCCTAAGCGTGCGCTTTTTCCTGGACTTTTTCCACACCTTAATCCGTGCCACCATCTACGGTGGGATTGAGTGGTGGAGCCACCCCACTCTCCACGCCCATCATGCCCACCCAATTCAATTCTACTATCACGAACAAGGGAAGTTGTTCAAACTTAATTATGTTTTTAGGTGAATCATTAAGAGTTGGGTAACTACAAGATTAGAAGCATGGGTTTTTGAAAGGAGTGCCCATCTAAATCGAGCAGAATTTGTAGAACTTTGTGAGGTCTTACATCGGTTCGAGAAAGGAACGAAATATTTCTTATGAAGGTGTGAATATCTCTTCCTAGTAGAAAACCTAAAAGGGAAAGTCCTGAGAAACGAAATATTTCTTATGAAGGTGCATGATCCTTTTCTTAGTAGACGTGTTTTACAACTTTGAGGGAAAACCTAAAAAAGAAGGTCCAAAGAGAACAATATCTGGTAGTGGTGAGTTTTAGCTGTTACAAAACTATGGTAGTACATACTTCTTCCATTCAGTTTGACCTATTCAAATTTCTAGTACTACAAGTCGTGTATACTCCTTCTATTTTGTCCTACCCGTTCAAATTTCTAGTACTACAAGTAGCATATGCTCCTTCCATTCAGTTCGATCAATGCAAATTCTAGTACTACAAGTTGTATATATTCCTTCCATTTAGGCCTACCCATTCAAATTTCTAGTACTACAAGTAGCATAGGGCTCCTTCCATTCAATCTGACCAATTCAAATTTCTAGTACTAGAAACAAGATATACTTCTTCCATTTAGTTCGACCTGCTCAAATTTTTAGTACTATAAGCAACATATACTCCTTTCATTCAATTTGGCTGATTCAAATGCTCAAATTTCATATACTAAGATATAACATAAACACTAGTTCCTTTACCTTTAGTTTAGTTGAGCTGGCTATGTTGAATACTACGCAAGTCCCATCGCATTCCCACAACGGCCACCAGCGCATGGTTTCAGTCAAAAAGGCACGATATGTAGCCGTTACCTTACGCAAATGGTGTGTGTGTTGTGCTGCCCTCTTATCTCAATTTTGTTTTAAAAAAGAGACCCATTTTGGCTCTTTCTCCCATGCATTTATCAATCTTGGTATCTGCCCTTTTCCTTATTGACTGCCGTGTCCACCCCTTTTTTACTTTCCCCAAACAGCCCCTCCCTCCCTCCCTCCTCTCGTCACTTCCCCCAAAATGCCACCAAATTGTCCTCATCTCGGTCTCATTGGCATTTTGTCGAACACTTTGTGTGCAATTTTCATAGTTACCAATTTCAGCCACTCCCGCTTTCATGTGAACACAACCCTTCAAAGCATTTTCACTGCATAACCTGAAAGAAAAAAAAAAAAAAGAGCAATGACAAAACTTAACGCGTTTTACAGCTGGGGAGGTGGGTTTGTCATGGTGTGGGAAATAAGAACAGAGAGAAGAAACGGAATAGGAGGAGGAGGAGGAGGAGGAGGAGGAGATTTAATGCTTGCTCAAATGCTTACTCAAATCTCAAATCTTACCTTTGAAGTATTATTTTCGTGTTGGTAAATAAATGATTTAGAGATGTGATTTTAGTAGCCATTCATTCATATGAAGGGAAAGACAAAATTGCACATATAAACCTCACAGTCTCAGTGTTTCCAAAATCTGTCAAAATCTGTCATCTGAGGTACAATACAAAATTCTCATTCACGGGTTACTTCAAAACAAGCTAAACCCGTGAGGAAGAGCACATTTTGTGGGTTTTTTTTCCTCGGGGAGTTGGCTGTCCTCTTCCAAAAAAAAAAAAGTTTTTTTTTTTTTTTTTTTAACATCATCTCACAACACGTTTAGCTAGAAGTTTCCATATTCTTACGGAGATAATCCACATTTTTAAGAGTAGATATTGTCTTTTTTGAATTTTTCTTTACAAACCTACACTCAACATTTTTAAAATAAATCTACTGAGGAAAAGCTTCAAATTTCCTTCCCTCCTAAGCATGGGAACCGAAAGCCTAAAAAGTAGGGCCATTTTGGAGGAAGAAATCATGGGTGGTGTTTATGTAATAAAAGGGAAATGGCAGCCTTGTTTGGAACTTTACCTTGCTATATAAACCAGACACTGGTCCTTGCACTGTCCTTCTCTACCCCTTCTTGGTTTGACAGTCAGCTTTGTTTTGGGAGCTGTGTTTGGCCATTCCTCTCCTTCTCAGCTCTCTCTGCTTGCTTATATGCTTAGCTTTAAGTGAGATTTCTTCACTCTTCCTTACTTCCTTCCCATGGGGTCCATGGCTAGATTACTCGTTGCTTCCTTTCTTCTTCTTCTTCTTCTTCTTCCTTGTGTCTTTGTCAATGCCAAACGAACCTACATTGTTCGCATGAAACATCATGCTCTGCCATCTGATTATCTCACCCACCATGACTGGTACTCTGCCCATCTCCAATCTCTGTCCTCCTCTGCTACCTCCGATTCCCTTCTCTACACCTACACCTCCGCCTACCATGGCTTCGCTGCTTCTCTTGACCCAGATGAAGCCGAATTGCTCCGCCAATCCGATTCAGTTCTTGGTGTCTATGAAGACACAGTTTACAAACTTCACACAACTCGCACTCCGGGTTTCCTCGGCCTCGACTCCGATTTCGGCTTGTGGGAAGGTCACAACACTCAGGATCTCGACCAGGCTTCTCATGATGTCATCATTGGGGTTCTCGATACTGGGATTTGGCCGGAGTCGAAGAGCTTTGATGACACCGGGATGCCGGAGATCCCATCACGGTGGCGTGGAGAATGCGAATCGGGACCCGATTTCAGCCCTTCTCTCTGTAACAAGAAACTAATCGGAGCTCGCAGCTTCTCGAAGGGTTATCAAATGGCTTCCGGTGGTGGGTACTTCAGAAAATCCAGAGAGAATGAGTCGCCTCGTGACCAGGATGGGCACGGCACGCACACTGCGAGCACGGCTGCTGGGTCACATGTGGCTAACGCGAGCTTACTTGGGTATGCTAGAGGCATAGCAAGGGGAATGGCTCCTCAAGCAAGAGTTGCCGCTTACAAGACCTGTTGGCCCACTGGTTGCTTTGGATCTGACATTCTTGCCGGTATGGATCGGGCAATATCTGACGGCGTCGATGTGCTATCACTCTCTTTGGGTGGTGGCTCTGCACCGTATTACAGGGACACAATAGCAATCGGAGCATTTGCGGCCATGGAGAAGGGGGTTTTCGTTTCGTGCTCAGCTGGAAACAGTGGGCCAAACAAGGCGTCTCTGGCTAATGTGGCCCCGTGGATCATGACAGTCGGAGCCGGAACTCTGGACCGAGACTTCCCAGCTTATGTCCAACTCGGAAATGGCAAGCGGTTCACTGGAGTGTCACTCTACAGTGGCCAAGGAATGGGAAATAAACCGGTGGCATTGGTGTACAACAAAGGAAGCAACAGCTCCAGCAACATGTGCTTACCCGGATCTCTTGAGCCGGCGTTTGTTCGGGGGAAGGTGGTAATCTGCGACAGGGGAATCAACGCCAGAGTAGAGAAGGGAGGGGTGGTGAGAGATGCAGGTGGCATTGGGATGATTCTGGCAAACACGGCAGCCAGTGGGGAAGAACTGGTGGCTGACAGTCACTTACTGCCGGCCGTGGCGGTTGGGGCGAAAACCGGCGACTTGATCCGGCAGTATGTACGGTCAGTAGCGAAGCCGACGGCCGTGCTGAGCTTTGGTGGGACAGTTCTGAACGTGCGCCCATCTCCAGTGGTGGCGGCCTTTAGTTCCAGAGGACCCAACTTGGTAACGCCCCAAATCCTAAAGCCGGACGTTATAGGGCCTGGCGTTAACATCCTGGCCGCCTGGTCTGAGTCCATCGGGCCAACTGGATTGGACAACGATAAGAGGAAAACTCAGTTCAATATCATGTCAGGTCTGTCCCGATTCTGAATGCTGGGCTCTATCCCAACTTCTCTGGTTCACACTGGCCGGCCTGATAAATCTTTTCTGCTATGTATGTAGGAACATCCATGTCTTGCCCGCACATAAGTGGGCTGGCGGCGTTGCTGAAGGCAGCTCATCCATCATGGAGTCCAAGCGCAATCAAATCTGCATTAATGACCACTGCCTACACGCAGGACAACACCAACTCATCTCTCCGGGATGCAGCTGGAGGCATGTTTTCCAATCCATGGGCTCATGGAGCTGGCCATGTTGATCCTCACAAAGCCCTCTCCCCCGGTCTTCTATACGACATCTCAACCAATGATTATATTACCTTTTTGTGCTCCTTGGACTATGGGATCGATCATGTTCAGGCAATCGTGAAGCGATCGAACATAACCTGCTCCAAAAAGTTCGCTGACCCAGGGCAACTAAACTACCCTTCATTTTCAGTTGTGTTTGGGAGCAAAAGGGTTGTTCGGTACACTCGTATAGTTACCAATGTTGGGGCTGCAGGGTCAGTTTATGAAGTGGCTACTACTGCACCGTCGGTTGTGAAGGTGACGGTGAAACCTTCAAAGCTTGTGTTCTCTAAAGTTGGGGAGAGGAAGAGGTACACTGTTACATTCGTGGCGAGCAGGGACGCTGCTCGAACCACGAGATATGGGTTTGGATCGATTGCTTGGAGCAATGACCAACACCAAGTTAGAAGCCCGGTGGCATTCGCCTGGACCAAGTTGTGATTGTTGTTTTTGTATAGGACGTTTTCCATTTGTAGGTTTTTCCATTCCTCCAACTTTCTCCAATTTCAGAAAGAAAACAGCAAGAAGATGATGATCAGCAATCAGCCAGAGAGAATGATCATATCATTGCATGGGAAAATTCAGCGTTTGGTTTGCCATTGAGATGCTTTAGGAAGGCCTGGGGAGAGTCAAAACTAATGTAATGCATAAAATTTGGCACTTCTTTTCCTAGTTATCTAAGAATTACTGTTACCGTCGGTCCTGTTAGGAAAATTCAAAAACATGAAGGCCAGTGAAGTGTGTGCTTTTACTTGCAAATGCCTATAACTCCCAAATTTCTCTCTCCCTCACTAAAAACTAAACAAAACAGCAATGATGAACATGTTTTATAACGAGGCCAGCCAGTTTCAAATGACTTGCATCAATAATCCAGCAGATTAAGATATTCATCATAATGTACACGGATTATATCATGTAGAAAATCAAGATAAACTATATGGAATAGTGTTGCTGAACTAAAAGCAACAGCATAAAGAGCAGGGGTTGCAACAGGACTTTGTGCAGAGGCGACAAGAAGATACCTGGGAACATTTTGGAAAAGAGCACTTACAGCTGCATTTGCATTCGCAGCAGCTGCAACAAGGGGGGCATGAAAGTGAAGGTAATGATATAAAACAACACAACCTACGGCACGAGATGTTTCTACAGCAGGAGAAAGAAGAACAAGAGAAGAAACTACACTTCGACATGCTACAACAGCCTAAACATGATGGAAACTTGCATGGTTTGCAACCACTGCTGCGAGACATCTCTAGGTAGACAGAGCACCCTGCAAGAGCAGCAGCACAGCCATGACAAATTAAAGCAAGGAAGTCCGCTGCATGACAATCGTAACAAAATGTTATATACAAAAATGTTTTCTAAGTGATAATGAGCTGGAATCAGAATTCGTATGTTGAAAGTTCTAACCATAACCATTTCCAGATGCGATATCGCCGATATTTTGTCCTATATCTGCTTGAAAAAAGAAACATCGACATGGATCATGATCAATGCAGTCTTAAATTTATGCAGATTTGTTTACTGAAAAATGAACTCTTACGTAGGCATCAATGGATCTGAGTTGGCCGTTACAAAGTCACTAATCCTGCAAAAGTGTAATGTTAATCAACAGTGGAAACGAAAGAGTGGATGGATCGATACCTAATTGATTGTGTTCAGTCAACTGAAAGAGAACATTAGAACTTCAATAAATTAAAAGATGATGAAATTTAAGAGAAACATACTCTTTGCAGCTGATTGAGACAGGTTGAAGACTTTGAATGGATTTTAGTTCGTCCTGATTCAAGAAAACAAGAAATGTGTAACGCATCGACAGTACTTTTCTATGAAGGTCTCGGAGAAGCTTTATACCACGAAATGGAAGTTCTAAGATTATCGAATCTGTTCTAAAACTCCAAGGGACACTAGCTCTCTAAATCAAACCAAAAGATCAGATTTTGAGTCTAATTAACAATGCTAATAACAAAAAAGAGAGATGCTTGCAATTGTACATAGCTTTCCGATGTCACTATGTCATTGTGAGTTGATGAAAACAGAGATAATCATTTCAATTCGAACTCACCTCAAGGAAACCAATTTCTCCTTCAAGCTTCTGTATCTTGGCTATCTCTCGACGCTTCCCATACAAATCCGGGTAGTCAGGCGGAGATTTCGGACTTGGGGGTGGTAGCGAAGACACTGATGAAGAGTAAACCGACCGAGCAGCCATTGCTTGATCTCAGGGCACCTGACCCTGATAGAAACCAAGTTTCGAATCACCGAAAGACAGAGCACAGATGAGAAAGAAAACAGCAGAGAATTGCAATAGTAGCAGAGATATAAGTAATAAGAAAGCAGAAACTGTAAAAGCAAGTGACAAACTAAAGCGGCAATTGATGTTAGGTATGAATGATCTTACATGGGCAGTGACAGAGAAGTAATAAGAAAGGCTGACAAAGATAGTTACAGCCCACAAAAAGAAAGCCTCTCTGCAAGTAAAACACAGCACATAAATGTATGTACCAAGTTCCGGGCTGCAGGGTTCTTAACGATGCAAGTGATAATAAGGACAGAAAGAGAGTCATTATTGTCACAGACTTAAGTGATAATACGAGCCTTTTCACGACTCGAGGCAGTAGCATTCTTTCATGAGAGAAATTGAGAAAAGAGGTTAAAATATTCTTGAAAAAAACTCGGTTTTCCATTAAGAATGTAACGATGGCTATGAGAAAAGCCTGTGCCTGGCGTGCCTAAGCCGGTATAAGACTAGTTTGCTGAGTGTAGGCATCTGGGTAAGTGAGATTTTGGAGTTTGCTCATTCTTTAGCAGTAATGGAGTAAAAAGAAATGACCCCAACTAACTAAGTTGCTATGCCTTGGTTTCTTTAGCTGTTTTGGGCGTTGAAAGATGGTTTCTAGCAAAGAAGCAAAATGGAAAGTAGGTAGCTCAGAACGCACGTGGAGGAGAAATGC